AACTGTAGCTATCGCAAATTTTCACCCTCTTTACTTCTTTTTTCCATTTTGACTTTAGATGAGCAGGAGGCTGGGCGGTTAACTAGAACAGACAGATTTTATAAGTTCTAAAGGAAGTTGCCTTCAATTACCTTTTTCCACTTTGCAATCAGGTTGCGATCTGCATAACCTTGTTCCAAACAGAATTCGTACAGCTCTTTAGATATTTCATTCCTTCCATAGTAAACGTCATATACATATCTGCTCCTCTGATGTGCAACCTTGAATATGGGCCAGAGTGCTTCACACTTTCTTTTACCATCATTAGAGTCATTGCCAGCTACCAAAACCCAAAAAAACAGAAGTTAATGGTCTGGAAATTTCAATCACAAAAATAGACAATGAGATTGCTGAATTCCACGTAGCATCAAATTGCTTACCTTCTCTCATTTTAGCATCCAGTTCAGCTAAGGTAGGCTCAATCAGCTCCCAACCCTCAGGGTATTTTATACGGTTTGTCTTAACTCTAGGCATTTTTCAGCTGCAAATAAAAAAATGAAGAGACTTACTTCATCTGTAAGACAACATGAAGAGAAAAGTAGCAACACCCCTATAATTTATATACCAACAACATAAAAAGCATTTTTTATAGGTAAATTAAGTTTCTTTATCGTCAATAAGCAGCACCAAGAAGGTGCTACGTCAGTACGAAATGAGTGAAGAATCATTCCCTGTAAGAGTGCAGGGGAGTCTATGACTTCCACCGTATTGACAGAATCATCTATTACTACAAAAGTACAAATTCTTTAAGAATTTGAAAGTTCCCAGTAAGGATAAGGTTTTATCCTGAAACATCTCTGCTTCCTTCCATTCCGGACTGCCCAAAACATAGACAAAGAAATCATATTCCAAAGCATTCTCTGTCTCTTCTTAAGCCTCTACCCCCACCCCACCCCACCCAAAGCTGCTTAGTGCATCCACGCTTCATCCATATAGTCCCAAAACCATCCCCAAGCTGCTTAACGCATCCACACTTCACCCGAACCCTATTTGTTTTTTTCATTTAACCAAGTAAGGATTTATCTTATTCACATCAATAGGTATTCCATTGAGACAGCCTCTCTCTGCAGTAAAAAGCATCTATCGCACAGACTAATCCCTCACTTTGGCAAGTTGTCCTGTCTTAGGCATTCCTCATTTTTTTTTGAAATTGATGTCTTAGACATTCCTCGTGTAAGGCAATTTATTCAAAACAAAAACTTTAGCCAGCAGCATTTGCTTTCCAAATCATTTTCCATGGCAAATGGCCAATATCCCAGCATACTCTGCTTAAAACCATTCATAAAAAGCCTTAACTGAGAGATTTTCATCCTTCATGCTGGCATTGGATCTGGTACTCTTGAGTAGGATCCTGTCCGGTCTGAAAATCAGACAGCTAACAGTTTCCATATTTCGATCCTCCAGATTTCTTCTATACTATAAGTTCCAGTATCATCATTCTCACACCTCCCTCGATCTGCAGTTATCCAGCATCTTATCCTAATCCTATCAAAATCGTATCTTTTACCACATGCAGCTTCAGTTGATTACTTCTGAAAACTCATCATAGGTTCCTACTCTATTGCATACAGCCACCATGACAAGCATGTCGAGCTTTGTATCTAATGTCTATCCCCATCATATTTTTCTTTTACCAACTCCTTCCATAGGTCTTCCTTTTCTGCAGAACTACCACAGCCATTTGGAAAAAAGGCTCGTATTATGAAGCCTTAGGTTCTTCATTACTAATCCTCCACTAGTTTTGCTTTAGTCAACTGTCAGCGTGGACCATTTGATCAAATATACCTTCTTTCTTTCACAGCATCCCTTTACATCTCAAGCAGTCCAGTTGTTTCTCAACTTTGGTAAGAATTTGAATAGCCGAAATATCTAATACACTATTTATCAATGTCACCCTTCCTCCAAAAGAAAGATACTACTTCTTTCAAGGTTCTAGTTCCACACCATTTGATAACATCCGGCCAATCTGGCGGGCCACTATAGTCCCCATTCCCCTATATGTGTACTTGCCAGCTCATCTACTAAATTTCTAGCAATCACTAAAAATATGCTACTCTTGGTCAAGTTAATGTGATACCCAGCAATAGCAACAGCAGCTGGGGACATTATTATCTTAAATATTCGACTACCACTGCTTTAGCACCACACAAAGTGTGTGCATCATCTGCTAACAAGCAGGGAAATACTTCCACTATGTTTCTATTTACTTACCAATCCCAAAACCTTTTATCCACTCATATTTCACGGTCCTTATTATCACCAAGATGAGAGACCCCATCACCAATAGAATAGAACAGGCATTTTGGCTATCATCTGCTAACAAGCAGGGAAGGATTATATCCTCTTAACTAAAGGCTAATTAGACTGAGATCTTTCAATTCAATTGTCCCTGTTCTTTGTTATTACAGCAATGAAGGCGGCACTAAACTTTCCCCAAATGTTCCCTTCAAAAAATTTCCAACATTCCCCGGCATTTCTGAAATAATGACGAAGGGCCTTATCATGAACATTGCTTATTACAACTGCCTTCACTTTCTCTACCAAAAATAGATTCTTTTTTTCTCCAAGGAATTTTGTAACATTATTTATACTCTGGTGTTAAGGATATCAGATCATCATCCTATCAATCTGGTTCCGCAGCTCCATTTTCCTACAATAGTCTCTCATAGAATTCTAAAGATCATCTTATATCTCTCTTAAATCTTCCACAGTTTCCTCAATAATCTCCTGTCTGTCTATATTTCTATACCTACTATGAGCATTGACCATTTCATGTAAAAACTAGACTATGCAAACAGAGCTAAAAACAAATTTTTCAGTTCTATAAAAACAGTGGATTTTTTCAGAATTGCAACAACCATAAGGGTATCAAGTTGTTAAGCCACACTATGAAGGTTTGAGAGAGGGTGGTGGAGATGAGGGTGAGGAGGAATGTGTCTATTTCCGAGAATCAGTTCGATTTCATGCCATCCATCTACCTCACACGGTAGGAATAAGGTCTGCGTACACATTATCCTCCCCAAACCCCACTTGTGGAATTACAATTACACTGGGTTGGTATGATGCTATTGTTGTTATTAAAACAGTTGAATCCCCTAGTCATAAGATAATTTTATTGAGGTGAAAAAAGAGTTCAATAGTCGCTACTACTTTTGAATCCTCTTGTATAAATTCCTAGTTCCACCACTATCCATGTTCAATTAAGTTTTGTTCCACATCACCACGAAAATTATAACAACAACAACATACCCAGTGGAATTCGACAAGGTAGAGTGTACGCCGACCTTGAGGTAGAGAGGTTGTTTCCAATAGACTCTCGTCCACAAGAGATATTATAAACTAGCATATTCAATATAATCTCACAAGTAGAGACTGTGAAGGGCAAAATATACGCAAACCTTACTCCTATGTTTACGAGTTAGAGAGGTTGTTTCCTATAGATAACCGGTTCAATGAAGCATAATTACAAGGATCATCATTGAAATTATCATTGCACAAAAATCCACAAAAAGAATCATAGAGTAACCGAAACATTCTTGTGCACATAGAAGATGTTCAAAAGTAGAGAAGGTGTTTACTTACCTTCGGTTATGAACGGAAGTATCTCCGATCGCCGTCTCCGGCAAGCTACTGCTACAACTGCGGGAAGTATGCTTCTCCGTTTTCTGTGTTCGGCGACGAAAGAGAAAATATAGGAACAAATTACATATATATCCCTTAACTTGTCATAATTGTAGAATACTCCCTATTTTTTCTAATTATAACAGACAATTGAGTACCTGATCTTTTTTCTTTACCTTTTGGGATCCCCAAAGGAAAAAAAAGGTTACCAACTAATTTAAAATTATAGGGTAAAGTGTAAACTTGAGAAATGAAAAAAAATAATGAATTCAATAATAACAAAGAGTGGAATATTCACAAATCTTACGCTAATCTTTATAAATTAATGAAGTTGTTTTCGATATTTGTTAAAACCATTAATTAATTACTTATTAATATTGATAAGCTGAAATTAATTCTCATTCTCAATTGATCAAACTAATCCAATTTCCAAACGTTAATCTAAAAACTCATGAGTTTGTTTATAGAAAGTTGTAAACACCAACATTTTTAACGTTTACTTTCACCATCAAAGAATGTGAAGTAATAAATAAGACTGCTTTCTTTCTTAATTAGAGATGTCAATTTGGAGTTCTGAATATGAAATAAGAAATTTATCGAGTGTTTCCCCTCATGGTCCCTCACACCAAATTTTTTACAAGACCCCTTTCTCCGAATGCGCCCTACACAATACAAACACAAATTAAACAAGTTTGAGAAAATTTCATAAATAGAAAACATAATAGGACTATATAGTTATAGTTTTGATAATTACGCTCCATAGCTATAGTTTCGTTTGCTATAGAGATTGCAGTTTGTATATTTCATTTGTGAATATACAAATAGGGTAAGTATATACAAATTTTGTATTTATATATTAAGGAAATTTTCAAAATTCCGTTTGTATATTTCGCTTGCCAATATACAAACATGATAATTTATTATGATTTTTTTATAAATCGTAGATAAATAGCTAGGGTAAGCATATATAAAATTATGGATCAAATTATACAAATCAAGCAAATAACAAAAATTGAGAAAACTGTAACCACAAATTACAATTTTCTTAAATTGTAGCTATGTTATTTTGCATAATTTTCCCAACAAGTTTTATTGTAAATAATGAATATCTACTTCAAATATCATGTGAGATTATTTTATATTATACCTAATAATAAATATAATTTAACTCAAAAATTATTCTATTTTATATTTTTTAAATAGAAATATTAGTTACTTTCGAGATTATTTAAGTCCCACAATGTCTAATTGAGTGGCAGTAAAATAGGAAGTAACAATCTTGAAGCCTCAACTCAACAAATTTGATTTCCCTTTGCGTCTATTTTTCTCTCTGACTTGTTGCTTTTCATCGAATTTCTCTCTAACTTCCCATGTAAGTTCATTTCTCTATTTGAATTTGATTTTTTCATTGACCCTTTATTGTTCTTTGATTCAATTCTTTGTTATTTACATGATTGATTGATTGATTAGATCTTGTTTTCTTCATTTTGTATGTGTGGCTTGTTTTGGTTGATGGGTTTGTTTGATTTGATCTATTTGATTGATATGATAGATGGGATCTTGTGGGTTTTGATTTCGTTTTGGATTTGTATGTTGTTTTAGGGGATTCACAATTTATATATGTACGTGAATGTAGAAAATCTATCATGCATATACAAAGTAACTTTTTGACAAGGGGGGTTTGGGTGAATACCCTCTAGTTCCGCCCCTGGCTACCTTGCACAAGTAGAGGTAGGTGATTCTGTCAATCAAGGCTTGAACAGATAGGAAGAAATCGCTTGAGACCATATGTTTGCCAACCCAATTCATTGACCACTAGGTGTTACCCTTGGTTGCTATAATGTTGGTATTTGATTCAGGGCTGTCTTAGTTCTTTGTTAACAATGACAATGGAAAAAAGGTTCCTTGATAGGAAGTTCTTTTTTTTGGGTGTGGGGGTTGGGGCTTCTGACAGTGGAATGTCGCGTTGGCTAGCTAAGGCACTCCAACAAGAGAATTCCTATCTGATTATCAATGCCAATAAAGGGAAATTGTATTTCTTTTTCTGTTAGCAACTAGCAAGTGATTTACACTGCCACTTGATGCCTAAAAGCACATGTTAATGGAGCTAAATTGGCTCTCAAGGATTAGATATTTTGGACATGGTAGTGGAAGACGAGCTTCATTTATGTGAAGTATGTCTATGATGTATGTGTGGCTGTTGGAGCTCCTGAGGATCTTACATTTGTTAGAGATGATAATTGGACCTGTAGCGTTTTTTAATAAGAATTGGACACGTAGTGTGCTCGAAATGCTTACAGTTCTGATGCCTGTTAGATATTGAAACCATGTGCTAGGAGAAATGCTGGTGAACACAGATCTGAAATCATCTGAGTGCCTTGATAAAAGCCGTTTCCTTTTACATTCTCCTTCTACATTTCCCCCTTTTCTTTATCAAGAAAAATAAATGCTGCTTAACATTATCTTTCGGCAGTTATCAGCATGTAAAATATTATAAGGCACTCTAATTGTTGGCCTAAATATTATCAGCAAGCTTGGTAATAATGTCGGTATACTGGATATTTGTGAGACATGTTTCAAGATGCAGGATGTATCCATTTTTTGCTGTTGTAATTTTTCTTGCTTGATCTGTTGATACTTGAACCTATTTGATGCAAAGATGGAGCTTACAATAGTCTATAGAGCCTACACTTGTGTGCAAATTGCACCCAAGTCAGTCTATCTTTGTGTGAAGTTATCGTTAGCATATTCTATCTATGTTTGTTTCTCTTCTTTCTTTTTAATGGTCTTTTTAATCTCTGGACGTGTTGTACTGGACAAGCATTACCTTCATGACATTTCTTAATACGACAACTTTTTAACCATAAAAGGAAAAGCGGGTGGGGGTGGGGGAAGAAGAGTCAGACTATCATTGTTTCTCAGTGTACTGTTGAATTTTTATTTTTTTTGGTAATATCCATCCGGACCATCCCAATTAGCATTATTAATATGGAAGGTCTTTTACTAGTACCTTCTAACAATAGGCATTTGGTTCATTTTCTACTTTCTGATTGATTGGTCATAGTCTCGAGTCTTGGCCATCTTCTTTCTGAATATGTGTTTGATTGACATCTTGCTTGCATTAATTAGTCTTGAGTCTTTGCCATCTTCTTTCCGGATTTGTGTTTGATTGACATCTTTCTTGCATTAGAGGAACACTTGCTTTTCACTTCTTCATTTCCCTCTCTTCTTATGTGCGACAAAAGTGATGAAAGATCAAAATGTCTTTGAAGTGGTAAATAAGACAAGGAAATCACACAGATTACACTTCTAACAAAGTGAAAAGGATGCATGCTAAAGAACCTCTTCTATATTTATTTACCATCCTAGTTTAACACCCATGATATTTTATTTGTCGTGAGATTCTGCATTGACAAGTTAATGAATTATGCAGGATGTCAGAAACACCCTTCTATCCCCGAGAAAAGCTTGCTGCGAAACAAAAGTATTTCCAGAGTGTTCACAAGTATACACACCTGAAAGGTCCCGTAGACAAGATTACCTCAGTTGCCATTCCACTTGCTTTGGCAACTACAGCAACCTTCATGATTGTGAGTTTCTACCATATTAAATAGTCCGAGTCATTTCTTTGTTTCCTAGAATCAACTGTAAATCCGTTCTTGTATGATGTTTCAGGCCAGGGGGATCTACAATATGTCTCATGGCATTGGCAAGAAGCAATAAAATGCTGACTTCTGCGCGATCATTCCTAGGAAACTCAAGCACAAAAGAGATTTTTTGAGTTATTCACATTGAAATTTTTGATGTTCTGAAGCTAATAATTGGTTAGATGCAGCAGACAATGCAGCCTGCACATTGAAAAGTTTGATGTTCTAAAGCTAATAATCAGTTTTTTTTTCCATCTATTAACTGCCACAATTTGAGACTTTGCTCTAATTTTGATGAAATGTTACTGTTTAACAATGAAAACAGAGTGGAACTATGTTCCTCAAAACTTGTGTGAAGGTCTACTGTTTTTGATAGACTGTCGACTCAAGTAAAACATACAAGAAAATAAGTATGGGAATGAAATACAGTAGTAAAGATGACATGTTAAAAAAAAGGAGAAAGAAAACAATAACAACAACAAATAATACAATAATAATTAAAATAAAGGAAACATGTAATAACAAAAGTTTAGAATAAGATACTAGAAGAGAATTAATGGCAATATTGATATCTGAAATTTAAGGTCATGTTCTCAAAAAGTTGCATGTATGTCATCTCTTATCTAATCACCACTCCTATATACTTGTTCGGCCTACGTCTACCTTTTTTCATATCCACCATAACCAACCTTGGTAAACAAATATGTACTTCAAAATAGTTCTAAGTATTTAATTAGTCAATAATTGATCAAACAATAATTCACTTTTATTTGTTGACTTTATTAAAACTATAAATTCTCATATAAAAACTACCATTTTCTTTTTTGCCCTTAACATTTACTATAATTCTAAATTATTTTCCAACTACTGGATGTAATATGCAATTCATTTATTGATCAAATATATAATCAATTTATTATTGAGATAATAGTCAAAAACACATTTATCTATAATTCTTTACGAAAAGACACTAATAGTTAAAGAGTAAAATCCGAAAAAAATAAAAATTGAGGGTATTTTTGACCATTAAATCTTCCTATTTCATTTTTTCGGAATTACAAAGATATACATATAAGTCCACGAAGTTGTCCATTGTTTCATTTCACAGCAAATCGCCGACGGCAAGCCGGGAAAGCTCTCCCGCCGGCGAAGTTCCGTAAACTACTCCGGTAGTCTCTTCTCTGCATAGCTATTCCCTCTACAATGAGGTCCAAGGACAAAATCTCCTACTTCTACGACGGTAAGAGTTCTCTCTTTTTCTCCTTTTTCACTTCACACTAGAGAAATCACAAACCCTAGGTGCTGTTCATTCTGTATGCGAGTGTTTATTTTGTTTATGTAAGCTGAATTTTTGTTACAGGTGATGTTGGAAGCGTATACTTTGGTCCGAATCATCCAATGAAGCCGCACAGGTTGTGTATGACTCATCATCTGGTTCTAGCTTATGGTCTTCACAGCAAGATGGAAGTTTATGTTTGTTACTCTTTCCTTTTCTCTTTTGTGTTTGTGAAGTTTTCTGTTTTCTATGAGTTAATGGTGAAACACACACTGAAAAATATCTATTTTTCGAGTTTCATACCTGAGTTATGAGGTACGGCCTAATAGTGTCCTGTTTTTTCAAGTTTCATACTTGAATTATGAGGTGTGTGAGTTTCCTACGAGAATTATCGCCAACTATTTATCTAAACACAACTTAGCTTTCAGCTGTCCCTTTTCGTACCTGAAATATCACTATCAATCGGGTGTGTTTTGGGAACAATTACTAGTTGAGGTACTAATGATAAATAGTTGGTGATAGTTCAAATATGAAACTCGGAAAAACAAGATATTTTAAGTGTGTTTTTGACCCTTCACTCTTTTTCTTTTACTTTGCTTTTTTTGGTTTACCTTTTTTGATTGAACTGTGTAGAGGCCTCACAAAGCATATCCAGTGGAGCTAGCGCAGTTTCATTCTGCTGATTATGTAGAATTCTTGAACAGAATAACCCCAGAAACTCAGAACTTGTTCCCTAGTGAAATGGCAAGATGTAAGTGTTGAACTTTGTCTTATTTTATCTCTTTTCCTTTGAATATCATCTTGGAGCTGCATACTTATTCATATGAATCTAGCTTGTACTAGTACTTGTCATCTTCGATAAACAAGCATGCCACCACCACCAACAGCTACACCTAAATCTGAAGCTAGTTAAATACTCAGTATTCATGTTACTCCACTTAGACTTGTCTCAATGAATATTGAAAAATTAGGTTCTCTAGTAGAGAATGTACGAACATGATTAGATCACCTATATGAATGTTTTCATGTGCTCTATTTTAACTGTCTTAATGGATTTCTAGAGATTGAAAAGGGGGGGGGGGGGGGGGGGGGGAGCATATAGAACAACAATTACCTCCAACCCAACTACTTCTAATTGGTAAATAAGTTTCATTGTTTGCAGCACTAAGAGAGTTCTACATATTACAAGTTACAACAATGTACAAAAGTAGTCCCTTCTACTTATTCTGGTACCTAATGAACTATATCAGTTTGCCAACATCACATATGTATTCTGAGTTACACCAAGTCACCATCACATTTCGTACCGTCTCTAGTCACCATCACATTTCCTATTTTTTTGTCTCCGTGTTGGTTGTTTGGTCTTTTTCCGACTTTTTTTTGTATGATGAATAGGTGCAGTTCACAACTCACTATAAGATCAAAATGGAAACTAATTTCGATATCATATATTTTCCAAAGAGTATGATTTTTGGCATCACGTCTTTTTAGATGATTTGTTTGGATAATATGATGTTGAACTATTGCTTATCTGTTTACTTATCAGATAATCTTGGAGAAGATTGCCCTGTATTTGACAACTTATTCGAGTTTTGTCAAATATATGCTGGTGGAACAATAGGTAAAATCGGCCTTGTTAACATGCTATTACTGTTGAAGTCTCAAATTCACTTGCTAACAAAGATTTAGTGGCAGATGCTGCACGTAGATTGAATAATAAGCTTTGTGATATTGCAATAAATTGGGCTGGTGGATTGCATCATGCCAAGAAGTGTGCGGCTTCAGGATTTTGCTATATCAATGACCTAGTTCTGGGGATATTGGAGCTTCTAAAGTATCATCCGCGGGTGCTCTATATTGATATTGATGTGCATCACGGTGATGGTGTAGAAGAGGCCTTTTATTTTACTGACAGGTGGAATTATTTTCTGTAGTTTTTCTCCAATTTTTCGTTTTTCCTTCTCTGTTTTTCTTTCTCTAATATCAAACCTGAAGATAAATCTTAAATCAATATGAAGGCTTAAAGTAGTAGCTATTGAGTCTAGAGTGAGACTCCGAGAACCTGGATGATCGACTTTGCCAGTAAGACATCTGTATTGAAGTTTTTTGTAATACTGAAGATGGGACCTCTCAGAAGCATCTTGTATTACCCTCATATAATCTGTGTCGCATAGGAATAATTAAAGTGTCACATGTTCACTTGATTATTAAATTGCTAGTTTATTCAGTAGCTGTGAGTATGAAGCTTCCACCCTGGCACCAGTTGAATACTTTAATTTTTCAAAAAAATTGGCTTCTAACCAGTTGATTTGTTTGCGTACTGCATAGTTGGAACATTTTTGTCTGATATGATTGTTGCTGCTACTATGTTCTATAGCTTTGACATTTTTGTCAAATGCTATATATTCATTAGCATTTTAGTAAGTGCATTCATGCTCTGATAGGTGCTTGTTAAAGCCTTATATAAATCTTTTTGGTGTAGAAAGTGCACGTTTCCTCGTGATGTGTTTTAACTGGGGAATGGGATAAATATTTACCAAAATTGGTGCAGTCCAAAATATTATTAGACAGTGGCTGGAATTTTAAGTTTCTAATATTAGATCTTTTTGCAGGGTTATGACCGTTAGTTTCCACAAGTATGGGGATAAGTTCTTTCCTGGAACTGGTGATATGAAGGTACTTCTATATTGACAGTTTATTCTTCTTTCTTTTTTTCTCTAGATTTTTCTTTTTACGTCGACAACCTAACATGAGCGAATTTCTTACGGGCTCACTTGAATTTCATCGACTTTTATGTGCTACTTATTATTGTGATTGTACCTTATTCTACGATCCTCTTGGATATATAGAGATTAAGACCTAAGAAGCTTATTTATTCAATATAGAGGTGTAGGATCACTCCCTCCATACCCAACACGTGTTGGGGAGGTATTAGTTATGTAGTAGATTGGTCGAGCGTGCACGTTGGTTCCTACATCTTTGCTATAAAAAAAAATTCTTCCATCCCGAAAGAGATTAACAAGTTTAGAGATTTTTACTTAGGAGAAGAATCTTTGAAATGTCAAAACTTGAAATAGCTAAAAGGATGTTATATCAAGCCCTTGGAGGTGGCTCGTAGTCAAAGAGTTGGAGTAACAACCTTGAGGACAAAGGTTCGAATCCCAACAATGGTGACAATAGATGATTTATTTCCATCTGCCTAAGCATTGATAGTTGTATTGGTGGAAGTTATCAGGTATTCGATAGATGTCAAAGTGCGTAGGACATCAATGTTATAAAGTAAAATATGTCATCAAAAAAATTAAAAAAATATAACATGCTTAGTGTGTGTGTAGATTTTGATATCTTGTGTTTTCCTTCAAGAATAGAAGGTGAAATAATTTGTTGCCAAAGAAGTAAGTGGCAAACAGAGTAGTTGCTACAAAATATAGGGAAAAGGCTCATAAATACCCCTCTTCCACCTTTGGATCTAAAAATACCGTTAAGGTTTAGTGGCAAACAGAGTAGTTGCTTCAAAATATAGGGAAAAGGTTCATAAATACCCCAGTTCCACCTTTGGGTCTAAAAATACCGTTAAGGTTTATTTTTGGGCTCAAACATACCCTTCAACCTAACAGAAATATGAACTTTAACTCTTTAAAAATCCACATGTCATTTTCTAATTGGTGCCACATTTTGATTCACAAATAATTATAACCCACTCAATTTTTAAAATCCAAACCCATGACTAACCCGTTCTCACCCACAAAATTAAGCATACATTCTTTTTCTCCTCTTTATTTCGGTCATTATTTTCTTCAGATCATTGCTTTCCTTGCTGGTAGCATCCAAACATATATTAGATTTCATATAGAATTTCAGTAACCAAATTCGAAAAATTGAAAAACTATTAAGTTTCTTGGCAAAAAAATTAATTTAGAACAAAATGGGGACATTGGTAAAATCTACGTCCAGCATTTATAGAAGTTTTGGCC